ATTTATAATTTATTTTTAAATAATCTGATAAACATATTTATGGCAATCATCCCATGAACTGAAGTTTCATAGCAGCACCAACAGTAGCAGAAGAAAGAAGAAGAAGAAGAAGAAGAAGAAGAAGAAGAAGAAAACAAAGGAGGAGAAGGAGAAGGAGAAGGAGAAAGGGGGCTGAAGTTGGTTAAAAAGTGGGTATAAGTTAAAACTTTTAAAAAAAAATGGGTATAGGTTAAATGGGGCGACTAAATAAGGTGCCCCGTGCAATTTTTACAACATCTGAGCATGAGTAAGCTCACCCACTACTATATTTACGATGTCTTTGTTGTCTAACAGCCCATTTGATTTCCTAATGAAATTTTTACATTTCTATGCCACATAGAAAACCTTATCACCCTCAATGTTTAAGGTTTGACTTAATTACACTTAGTATACCAAATTACCAATTCTATACCATAGTGTATTGTAAAAATAGGCTTCTTTTATTTAAAATACACTGCAATTGACTTTTTTTGTCCTTTCTATTCTCCCAGTTCTTCAATACTACTAAATCTCGCCAAGTGCCTCTCAAATTTTCCAAAATCTATCGAATAGATATAGGAACCATACTTCATGCTCATGATATTTTTAGCATTTTACCACGTAATGTAGAACGTCGTGTGCTTCGAAGTGATTGGATAGTTCAGGCTTCAAATGGAGTTAAAATAATATTTGAAAATTCAAAATAAAGAAACAATCTTATATTCCAAATAATGATGCTTTTTCAGAACTACACAATAGGATGAAGGCACAATCATGTAAACAGTAATGAATTCCATAAGATAGCCTATTCGAATATTTTACTCTTTATAAAAACGCCGGACGAAAAAGCTTCTTAATTATTTGATGAGAATACTTTTCTAATTCTCTCACATTACCCCCAACATATTCCTAACGAAGCTTTTCAAGATAATACACACCACCTATTATTAGACAATGACCTTAATTGCGTTTTTTGCAGAAGATTTGTAGAAGTTTTAGTCGTTTTTGATTTGTGAAAACAGAAAAAAAAAGCATCTACAATTAGAATACAATTAATATATAATTTATCTACAAAATATCTACAAACTGGGTACATTGAATTTGAATATCCCAATTCCCATTCAATTGTAGCTTAATTGGTATTTTCGACATAATTGCGTTTTTTCAGAAGATTTTTTAGAAGTTTTAGTCGTTTTGGATTTGTGAAAACAGAAAACAATGCATCTAAAATCAGAATACAAATAATCTACAATTCATCTACAAAATATCTACAAACTTGCTATATTGAATTTTAATATCCCAATTCCCATTCGATTGTAGCATAATTGGGATTTTTGACATAATTGCGTTTTTTCAGAAGATTTATAGAAGTTTTAGCCGTTTTTTATTTGTGAAAACAGAAAATAAAGCATCTACAATCAGAATTCAAATAATCTACAATTTATCTACAATTTCTGCAATATGTCTTCTTCTTCTTCTTCTTCTTCTTCTTCTTCTTCTTCTTCTTCTTCTTCGAGTTTCAATCTGAATTTAGTCAAAACCAAGTCTAATCTTCACCAAAACCCCTCAAAATTGAGATATAAACTCCAAATCATATTTCCGATTATTTTCAACAACACCCAATCCAAACAAATAATTTTTTTTTGAAGCAGCACTTTTTTTTTGACAAGTCAAGATGTACATAGAGGGGGGCATAAACCAAACCTCTCAGAGGAAAGTTGTGATGGACTAAGTTTCATCCATTACTATTTGACTAGTCCAACAAGAATTAGAAGGGTTGCTCCTTAAACAGATTAGCTCACAAAATAAAGGAACTAAGAAAGATCACTCAGCCTGGATAAAAAATAAAGGTCCTCTTTCTTATCCTGATTTTGAAATTTGGCATCCCTTTCTCGTCATTCTTCAATAAGGATATAAACTGCCTTGGAAGATTTATAGCCTCGGTGAAGAACTGACTCTCCTCTCTACTTCAGCTATATTAGCTAGGAGGTCTGCTGGGATGTTACCTTCTCTGAGTGTGTGAACATAATGAAAATTTCCAATTAGATTCATTGCTTGAATCGCTGAGATCTCATCCTTTATATGCGAAGTAGTAGACATTTCTCCTCTTATCATCTGGATAACAACAAGAGAATCTGACTCAACTGTCAACCTGTTGAAGCCATGATCTAAGCACCATCTAACTCCGGTTTCGATTGCTTGAGCTTCAGCTGAATTGTTTGAGCAACTAGCAAGGTAAACAGTGAAAGCCATGATCAAACGTCCCAGATGATCTCTTAACACCCCTCCACCTCCTGCATTACCTGGGTTTCCTTTGCTACAACCATCAACATTTAATTTGAATTCCCCAACACTCGGTTTATTCCATCTCACAGGAAGAATGTGTAGTTGAGGTTTGATTATGTCTACCATTTGACATATCCAAACAAATAATAATTTTTGAAAACCTAAATTTGAATTCAAAGCTTTCAAGCTTTTTAATGGCTGTCAATGGTGGAAAATATCTGGAAGAATATTTACTTCCATAATTGTAGCACGCCTAAATAGGAATATCTGGAAGAATATTTAGTTCCAGATTTGTAGCGCGCCTAATTAGGAAGGAATCAGCTCCTAATAATTGGTATTTAATGAATGGTATATATTTTGTAGAATAACTGTGAACATGGCGGGTAAATATGAAACTATGCACATATTTGGTAATAAGGTTTCATATATGGTATAGGAAGGAAAAAGTCTCTTTTCTAATCCCAATCTCAAGTACTTTCTTTGGAGACCCTACTTATTTGTCCCTTGATAAACTTATTTTTTTCTCATTAATGTTCTTTTTATCTCTATTTTATTTCTGGATTACCATTTTCCTACACACTTTAACTTGACTCGAGGTCACGTATCATGTTTACTATTGGAATGATTATTGAGAAACTTAGTTGCACCTATATATACAACAAACAAATAAATATATGAAATGGTAACTATAATAACTCTTATAACTATCGTACTATTCAAAAGATAACTACATGTAATTATTAACAAAAAATAAAACTAATTATCTGAAAATAAGAAAAAGAACCTGTTACACAACACGTTAAATTGCACCGATAGCATAACTGTTTTTACATTGTGCGTGTATATAATTTATAAGCCCATGCTAAATTAGTTTTAGTTAATTCTTGAGATCACTAGTAAAAGTAACTCTAAAAACAAGTGTACGACAAACACGGCAATATATTGCTTAAGAGAAGACCTACTTTCTATCAATACAAAAATATTGATAAGAAAAGGGATTAAAATTAAACTTGCCATGGACGTCAATGTTGGCGCCAACTGCTCAAGAAATAGAGTTTCCAGGATCCATCGATCCATGCACACACATAGAGGAGTACTATGTGTTCCAATTTCCAATACTAACATTGTGTTTTTAGATTTTTGGTTTTTGTTTACTTGGCCATTGCTTTTTTCTTTTATGTAACGTTAGGGGACAAGTTAATACCGTTAATATGTCCGTAAAAACTATAGTTATCATGTAATTAAGTGTTTTAATGAGGTAAAAATATATATATTAAAATTATATTAATCATAGTCGGGGAAATAAGTTTATTTATAAACACCTGTAATACATTTATTGATGTGAACATCACTCGGCAAGTTCAAATTTTAGTATTAAGATTCGAATTAAATGATTGCCTCATTATTATATTACACTGTTAGATCTCCATATTTTCAGGTTAGTTAATTATGTTAAAGGCTAATTAACGAAAGGAAGAAGCAACATTAAACAAGTCAAAAACTTCAAAGGCTGGGAACAAGGACGATTGGGAAAGCGAAAATTTTTATGGGCAATGAAACAGAAAAAAGATAATTTTTGCCGCCAGATCCAACACGAAATTCCACAAAAGTTTTAGTAGTTCAGTTTTGATGTTTAAAGTTTTCAGAGATATTTTAGAGTTTTAGGTTTAGATCCAAAAAACCCTCCCACTGTTTTCGCTTATTACTTGCCATGCATGCATGTGGTACTTTAAATCTTAAGCAAGAGGTAGCACTGAGCCCTGGATTTCTTTAGTGAAGGTTGGTATTAATTCAAGCAAGTATTTACACCCAATTAATTCAACACACAGACTCACTTATTTCAATCAATTTAATAATCTTTATATTTTTGGTTGAGTAGTTGGAAACATAGAGCACTATTTAATGATGATCTGTTCTTGGATTCAACGTTCTCGCTTTTCGAAAATCTTCCTTTTAATTCTCACCACCGACGCGTTCGAATATGAAAGACAAACACAGGTGTTTTCAGCATTTTTAAGATAAATATTAGTAGTACTGGAGTGGAAAATATCCAATCATCAAGAGTTTGATTGTGGTTTTGAAATATACTTTTATTTTTTCAATAATCGGTTTGAGTGTAGAACTAAGAAGAAATATGTCTCGAGAAAGATAAATGATAATTTTGACAAATACTCTTATTATTAAGAATATCAGCATCTATTTCAACAAGAGTTAATTAGAAACCTTAAAATAAACGGGATAGAGCATATCTTTCCCCTAAGAGTTTTAGATATATACGTTGTTGATAGTGTAAAGAATATTTACGTTATCAGGTTAGTCATATTTGTTATGTAATGGGTTATTATCTTATTTTTAAGGACAAATTTTATTTTTTAAGGAGGGTATCTATTGAGTCTTTGAATTAGTCACTCTATTTATTCAGAGAATTCCTATCAATAATAAAGAAAACAAATACTACTAATAGAAGTCATATATATTCCACAAAATAAACTGTTAGAAAAAAAGAGAAGACATGATAGTGTAAATAGATGAGTCTTAGCAAGATATTTTAGTCAATAAGATCAAAATTTCCAGCCTTTAGGAGGAGCTGAAGCTTCTAAATATAGTAACAAGTTTAATGAGCATAAAGTGCGCCAAGATGAGCTTCGATTCCTTCTCGAAATCTGCGAGTATTTCAACGTGGTCTCATGGCTAATTGGAGTAACTAGTTAGATAGAGATTCTGGTTTAAATTTCCTTCTATCTTCTCTGTTATATATACTGTTTCAAGTACTTCGCTTTGGAAATCATATTCTTACTTGGTGCAATTTCCTTCTCGTATCTCCTCCCTCATTCTGAGGAGATTCAAATTTGTTCCTTACTTCATTTCCCTATTGTAGTAAGTGCTTTGACTACACTCTTTTGTTTCTTGCATGTAATTGTTTCTCTTTTCTTATTGGTCCTAAATGGAGGGTTCGCCATGCACTTTTCCTGTCACGTCTTACTTATTTATTTTAACGTCACATTCGTTAAAATAATGGAACACTTAGAAAAAGTAATGGATTCACTTTTGGGTTCCCATATATATAATATTATGCATGTAATTGGAATTTTTGTTTCTTGTTTCTCACTGTGCTTAATTAATAGAGGGTTCAATTCAACATGTATTTTTCTTAAAAAAAAGTATTGGAATGGAATCACTTTTAGATACCACACTACATGTGATTGGATTTTTCTGTCTTGCTGCCAAAATGGAGAGGGAAAGAGTAAAGAAATTCATTAGCAATTGACGTGACTTTTAAAAAAAAAAAAGGTGACCTTACGTTAATTAATTCTTTGCGGGTATATGTGGCAGAAATAGTCATATTGGTGATAATATGGGAAGGGCCATTTTCCTGCACTTTTTATTTGGAACTTTGGTCTGCTTGATTGCTTCCGTCGTGAGAGCTGAAGACCCATACGTATATAAAACTTGGGTTGTTACCTATGGACAAATTGCTCCTCTTGGGGTCAAGCAAAGGGTAAATTTTCAACCCATCTTATAAATTGCTTTTATAACCTTAATCGAGTACTATTTTGGTTATACTATACGTAGCTAATTAATGTTTAACATATAATTCTATGGAATTCATGCAGGGAATCCTCATTAATGGGCAGTTTCCTGGCCCTACCCTTAACGTTGTAACTAATGACAACGTTCTGATTACAGTCATTAACAAGCTGGATGATCCTTTGCTCATAACATGGTGGGTCACTGAATTTTAATGTCACGTTACTTTAATCCATTGATTACAAACAAAACTATACATTGACATAATTATTAGCTCACCTACTTAGTACTCTAGGAAAGTATGTTGATCGACTATATTTTGATAATGTGAATGAATCATTAGGAATGGTGTGAAACAAAGGAAGAGCTCGTGGCAAGATGGAGTTGTTGGTACAAATTGTCCAATCCCACCAAACAGCCAATGGACCTACAAAATGCAAATGAAAGATCAAATCGGAACCTTTACATATTTCCCTTCCACGTTAATGCACAGAGCTGCTGGAGGTTTTGGAGGATTGAACATATTAGCTAGGTCTGTTATTCCAATCCCATATCCCAAACCTTTTGACCAATTCACTCTGCTTGTTAGTGACTGGTGGAAGACGGATAACAAGGTAATAATTCCAATCTCCTCCTAATTTTCTATTATATAATATAAGTAATTAATTTTATATATGTAAATTATAAATTCATTCAAATTAAATGTTCTGGCCTACAACTATAGGTATTGAAGCAAAGGCTAGACCAGGGAAATTCTTTTCCTTTTCCAGATGCTCTACTCATTAATGGACGCCCTAATTCTTTTGAATTCACCGGCATGAAAGGTACGTAACACTAGCAGTATATTAATTTGCACATAACCTGCCTCATATATCAAGTTAATTACTGATCCCGTTTTTATGATGATTATTGTTTCAGGGTATACATACTTATTTAGGGTGTCGAATGTGGGATTAACAACATCGATTAATATTAGAATCCAAGGTCACACGTTAAGGTTGGTGGAAGTGGAAGGAGCTCATACCATGCAAGAAGTGTATGAATCATTGGACATTCATGTTGGCCAATCCATGGCTTTTCTGGTGACTTTACATGCCAATCCCAAAGACTATTATATTGTGGCATCCACTCGTTTCACTAAACCAATTTTAACAGCAACTGCCATCCTTCACTATCAAGGTTCTAATACCCCTGCCTCCAAACCTTTGCCCATTGGTCCTACTTACCATGTTCACTGGTCAATGAAGCAAGCCAGAACCATTAGGTACATGCACTCCTACATTCTTTTTCTCCTTGTTTTTTTGTGCTTATGCTGATAGAGTTTCTGTTTTAAAAAGATTTGCGTTATTCCTTATTAGTATGACGCTTTTCAATATTTCCTTAATAAGAAGCATTTAAATCACACAAATGCTATAACAGGTTTCAGACTACAAGTTTTAAAAGTCTTACAGTCATACAAATGTTATGGCTTCCACATATCTCAAAAGTCTTCCCTTCTTTATGAAAGTTTATGTCAAGTCAAACTAAGACAATCCTTTTGAAATGGAATTAGTACTACTTCACTATGTATAATCAGGTTAAGTTATAGCATGTGACTGCATGTAACAAACATAATATGTTAAACTGAAAAATATAGCAAATACTAGCATGTTATAACAGGTTAAATTATACTGATCGATAGTATAAAAATTCTTTAAACAGTCAGTATATATAACTTAAACCCCAAGTGATGCTTGCTCTGTTGTTCCTGTGTTAGAAAGTTATTCTGCGCTAATAGAGGGAAAATAATTTTTTTGTACATGTATAATTTAATTATTTAATCCCCTTAACATAGAAAAGTACAGGTTCACATCCCAAAGATGACATTTTTATATTTTGTTGAATTCCCTTACTAGAATTTCTTGCTCTACCAAGTAATTCCTTCTAACATTTTTTTGGTCGTGTCGTGAAGATGGAACTTGACAGCAAATGCTGCAAGGCCGAACCCACAAGGAGCATTCCATTACGGGACAGTGCAAGTGACGAGGACACTGGTGCTGGCAAATTCTGCTGGAAAAATCAATGGAAAGAGGCGTTATGCTATAAACAAGGTCTCTTACATCAACCCAGACACTCCATTGAAGATTGCTGATTTTTACAACATTCCTGGAGTTTTTCAGCTGAACAAAATTAAAGACAATCCTCCACTTGGCCCAATTGTTCTTGGCACTTCTGTCTTTAACTTCTCTCTTCATGACTTCACTGAAATCGTCTTCCAGAATAATGAGAAAACCATTCAGTCTTATCACCTTGATGGCTATGATTTCTGGGCTGTCGGGTATGTCCAATTTTCCTAAGCAATTTCTTCAAGATATAATTCTACAAGTATTTTGAGTATGTTTTTAGTTATGTTAGTACGTGTTCTTTAGATATTATGTTTTGTAGTTTAATTTTAATCCTGTAGAGAGTTATTTTTATGTCAGTAAAAAATATAGAGAACTTTTAATTTTATTCTATATAATATCGATCTGAAATGAGCTTAAATAAAGTGACATGGTCAGTGAGAATTTATTGCTTGGGCTGAGGAACCATATGATTGTATTTCGTTGTTTGTATTGTTAACATTATAAATGTTCAATTTTCTCAACTGCTCATGACTCTATCATTTGCTTTTAAAGGTATGGGCCAGGGCAGTGGAACCCAACAATGAGAAGAAAGTACAATCTAGTAGATGCCACAAGCAGATGCACAATTCAGGTGTTTCCAAAATCATGGAGTACAATATTGGTGTCATTGGACAATAAAGGAATGTGGAATTTGAGGTCAGCGATATGGCCAAGGAGATACTTAGGACAGGAAACATATTTCAGAGTGTGGAATACCGAACATAGCCTTTACACTGAATATGATATTCCACCAAATGCCATTCTCTGTGGCAAGGCCAAACACTAGCACTAAGATATTTTTATACTCAACTGTTGTAATCTCTTCTTTTCCTCTTTTTTTTTTTTTTTTTTTTGCTCTTTTAATTTTCCCGTTTTTCTC